ATGGTTTTCTTCAGGCCGTTCACATATAAATTCACCGTGGCTGAAGGGTTTTCGGGCTCGCTTAGGAAGCGAGAGGTCTGGGGCCGTATTCATAAAGGATCTTAAGTTTTAAGGGAAACATTTCCTTATCTTCAAGAAAACTCCCTAAGGTAAAATTTTCCCTTAACTTAGAGGTCAAAAATCCCTTAAGTGAATTCCTTAGGCAAGAAATTCCTTAACTTAAATTTTATCCTAAGGCGAAAATTTCGTTTAATAGCAGTTTTTCTATTTGTAACTACCGACTGGAGAGCACTGACTATGCTAAAAATAGTAACAAAAACAAGATGGCTGACCTAGAGCAGGAAATGCGCGACGTTTCAGACCTTTCATGGATATTTGTTGTATTTCATGGAATTATTCGGACAATCATCATAGGACGAAGGCAGAGGAAAACGATTGTGGGTTTAACACTAGTGACATGGTTTGAGACTGACGTTTTTAAACAATATCAGTTTCATTCGCATGTCGTTCTTGTTTACCTAACTCGCTTCGAAATTTTCCGAAATTACAAAGTGAAAGTAGGGTAAGTGTTTACTATTTTACTGATAAATTAGGCCGATATGATTAAACATACGTAATAGCATGTTTATACAAGAACCATTGTTTCACTCCTAATTGATTTCTTGACGATACATTTGACTATTTTCTGAATTTCGAGTCAATAACTCAAATTATTCGTCCCCTGGTTACTTCGTGCACATTTTGCCTTTTTGGTAAATTGTTGGAAGTTGATATTTTTTTCTGAAAAAAAAAACCCATCTTTGTAACAAATTAAAAAGCCGTGTTGCAAGGGGGTTATTGGACAATTGCCAAATTTTATTAATTTTAAACACTATCAAGTCCAAGGTATATACATCATACATGTACATGTAGCCCTCCATGTTTAATATTATCTTGTTTCTTAATTTTGTTTACAATAATTTACTTATTTTTATTTGCATAGTTCATATTTACAAGATCAAAAAGTTAAATATACATACCGTATATAGAAAAATAAGTAAATAGTGTTTTAACAAATACAATATCATTAATTAATGTTTTTATCATTCATGCAATTATAATACTAATAGATACTGATATGGACTTCAGTATGTTAGCTTATTTTATTTAAACATTTAAGACATAGGTTACTATCATTTATTGCATGGTTTACTGCCCTAGAGAATAAAAACTCAAACAAAAAAGAAATTCCTTAAAATCATAGACTCATAACCTCTGATCCCCTTTCGAAATTCCATTTTATTTAGTTCCTCCCATTGTTTTCTCGTTTGGGGCACACGCATTTTTTTACTTGGGGATCATATGCCGCTTTTCATGGAATGGCACTTACGTGTCACATTGAAGGTTCCATGATGACGGCCATATGAACACATCTGCGGATGTTTCAAAATTCAAAGTTGTACCAGTTCATGTTAAATGTTGAATTCTGCTTAAGCCAAGGGGGCGTGGACAGTGGTTTGCACTTGACAGTACCGTCCATGAACAGGCACAATCAAACCAAGCATGCAACATTTTCAATTGTGCCATGTTGGGCTTTCTTTAGGGATTCTTATTTTCTCTATTTTGTTGCTGTTATGTCTGCTTTTAATTTATTATATATGACATAAACAAGCTCATATCAGCTTTGTCTGATAAAATTGATATCAAAAATACAATAGTATGTTATTCTCTATTGCAAATTTAAGTAATTGATGTTCTTTCATTTGGTATTTGATTAAATGAAGATCATTGACACAAGGGAATAAAATAAATGATAAAGAACAATTGTTTCAGTATGACTGGTCTTAGTTAAATTAACTGAAGGAAAAGGACATGAACATTTTAAAAAATAATTGACAAGAACAATGACAATGTTTGAACTCATAATATAAGGCCTTCAATTATTTTGAATTTATCAAAGAGTAACTTCATTGTAAGAGTATATTTACAAGAAAATAATATATATTAAAATAAAGGTTCATTAAAGTTGTTTTGACATGTTAACATATTCACTATGTGTTATGTAATTTTGGTAAAAAAGTGGTTGTTTTCATGTGTTTTTATTCAAGAAAGGCTTTTTAATTATATTTTTCCTCTACATAATCAACTAATCAGTAATGAAATTTACAATGGAAAAAAATAAAAGGATTTCATCAACAGTTTGTAAATGATTGTGAAAAAAATTCTTGTCGAATATTTTTATTCAACTATGGCAAATCATTATTACTATGTGGTGTATCCTTACATTACATGCATTATTAACCAGCATGAATCTGAAGGATCAAAACAATTTTATTTATTTGTTTGCAAGCAACATAACTGTAGTAATGTACTATGATAAATTAAACAGTATAATTACAACAAACAGTTTTGTCTCATTGATAGAACACAATCTTTATGAAATATCTTAAATACATATAATATGTATTTAAGTATATAAATATGCCATTGGCACTATGACATGGCTTATGGACACATAAAATTTGTAGTTTTCATGTGTAAATTGAACTGAATATTACATTGCAGATTTTTTCTCAAAGCTTCATTTGTAGTTTTGGGCTAAAGTAGATACTACTTTACAGTAATCTATAATTTATTTAGCTTTCATTTTATATTGAGAGCACCTGAATTACTGTGCATACCAGCCTTTACACATGATACTGTATAAACCTGTCACTTTAGTAGTCAGTAAGGGAACTGAGCAAAAATAACCACCATAGTAAAATGATTAAAAGAATAATTGTGGCTTGCATATGGTTATTATAATCAGATTCCTGTGCTATAACTTTCTTATTTGATTCAATAACAAATATCTTTGAAGCCATGAAAACAAATCTGTCAATGTATCACAGTGATTTTTTTTTCCAATTTTAAAAACAACCTGTGGCTTTCTGAAGGGGAAAATATAGTGTGATTTACCAGAAAACAGGGAAATCTAGTGACATCAAATTCACATTTGATAAAATTTTCACTTTTCAATTCAATTTAACATGCATGGTACATAGCAGAGGCTATTTATAGGGAGAGGTTATTGATATAAGTCAGCCAGGCTATCTATAGGGACAGCTGTCAGATATAAGTGAGATGCTGTTAAGTCATGGTTTTGGTAAAAAAGTGCACAGGGCATTTAAGGGGAAAATATTATTAACACTTTTAGGGGAAAATATACTTATTTTGGGCTAGGGGAAACAGCCTTTTTGGCTGTAAAATGTAGGGGGGAAAATCATTGTATTAGCAATCCTTATGTTTAATTTATGTCAAAGTAATGACTTCAGCTGTGTTCACACAATATATTTTTAATAATTTTTTAATAGCTGTCATTCAAGTATGCCAGATTCCTTTCACTAAGAACAAATTGACAAAAAGTAGTAAATTAAGTATGCAAGTAAGCCAAGTACATAGACTCTTATAAGGATCTTACACCGGATACCTATAGTATACTGACTGGAAATTCTTGCATAGCAGACTGGAATTTTTGTTCATTTTACCCATGCCGGACTACTTCTCAAAAACTACTGGTGCAATTTCTTTCTAAATTTACAGGAATGATCAGTACCAAGTCTTGTGTGCATATCATCAGCTTTTATGGTTCAATAAATTTTGTTGGATTTATGGCCCTTAAATTATATATTTTTTTAAAGTTTGTCCGGACAGTATTTGAGAAGTGTTTCTAATTTCTTTTCTGGTTTGTAAAGTTTCTAAGCTTATAATTCTCCAGACGATGACGCCTTATATGTCTCCCAACTTCTCCCTAAAGTCTCCTCACTTCTCCCTAAATCAGCTGGAGGGAGAAGTCACTTCTCCCTAAAAATTTGACCTAGCTCAAGCCCTGGGACTACTCCTATTATACCACTAATGCAATTTCCAAGAAACTTTCAGGATTGATTGATAGGTCAAGTACTTGCACAAGCACAAATTACTCGAGTTTCCCGCTTGAATGATTTTTGGCCATGTTATGGCCCTTGAATGAAAAGGATGTTAATAAAGTTTGTCAGGACTACTCCTCTTATACAATTACTGCAATTTCAATGAAACTTTACAGGATTGATTGGTAGGTCAAGTACTTGTGCATAAATTGATAATACACAAACTTTTCACTTGAATGATTTTCAGCTGAGTTATTGCCCTTGAATAAAAAAGTGTTTTGCCCAGTTAATGATTTTTGGGTCTCTTGGTAGCTGCAACATGTGACTGGCAATCATGAGGCGACACATGTTATCACTGTCAGATGGCCCTTGTTATTAGCTTAGGAATATTCCACATAAAAAAAACGACCAAAGTGGCTACTGCTTTAGTGTTAATGAATGAATTTCATATATGGAATAACATTCTCTGGATTGTTCTTTTAAGATGACCAGACTAACCCTGACCTTGAGTCACAAATGACCTTGAGCTTTAAGGTCAAATAACTGAATTTTGCTCTCTTTTTTTCTGTAACTGACTACAAATTTTGTATTAATGAATTGTCTCATAATTAGACTGAATAACCTTTAGGACAAGACATTCATGAAGATCAAATTATCTTTGACCTTGACTTTTAAATGACCTTGGCCTTCAAGATGCAATTACTGAATTTGTTAATTGTTTTTGCTTGGAATGGCGATTAAACTTTGCAATGAGTATATGGAAATTATTAAAATTACAATGCATCTTTATCTGTGTGTCAAGTTTCATAACTCTGACTATTTGTCTTTTTTAACTTAGAAAATATCACAAAAATGTACCAAAGTGGCTAAAGCTTAATCATTCATGAATGAATTGTCCTTGTGGATACATTGTAGACCTTCAAGATGATGAAACTTACATTGATCTTAAGTCATAAATGACCTTGACTTTCAAGGTCAAATAATTGATTTTTTTGTGATGTAACAGACCGTCCCCATCTCAGGAACCAGTAGCAATATTTAATTGAACTTGAAATATCCTTGCAATATCACAAAGAAACCTTTATCTTTAATGGTGGATAACAATATAAATCAGTGTGAGAGTTTATAACTTTATTTTACAAAAAATATTGAATTCAGGATGAAAGTTTATTTCATGAAGAATGAGTTCATGTACAATAAGTCATAAAAACATCATAAAGAGTCTTCCAAGATTATCACTGATGTAATAAGTAATCACACTTCCAAAGATTATTACTTAGTTATGTTGTCACCTACATTGTAGTTTTTACACTTTTCAAGATCTTCAATAGATCACTTTTGTCAGTAATTGCAATCACACTTTTTCAATATTGCAAGGATATCAATACCATATGTTAGTATATTGTATTTTTTTTCAAATTGTCAACAAAAGTCATTGATTTCACATTTATAATGAGTATGACATTTCATTTACTTAGTCACTGGCCAATAAAAAATTCTGTTTTGTTGTTTATTCCTTCTGTAGGGTTTCCAAACCAATCTTCAATATCTTGAGTATGCTGGAAAAAAAAACAAATGTATTTTAATACTTAATTAATATTAATTTAAACAAAGAAGCTTAAAAACAGAAACTGAAACAAGACTGAAGTTGTGACATAAAATGCAAATGACTTGTTTTGTGCTGAATCTAAATAAAAACAAAAGTAGTTTTATTTAAATTATCATTTGCAAGTACATACCACCTGACAATGATCAACCAAAGGCAAATATTTCAGAATAAGAAACAGAACACAATTATCACTTATAAATGTTAGAATATATAGGTATTAGTGTAAATATCTAGGTGGCTCAAAATCAACCAAGTCTCTTTCCTATCCTAATCAGTTCCCCTCTAGCTAAATATTTCTGTCTGAACTAGGGCTGTCATTGATGGAAAATTTTGTATTGATATATCAAGAGACAAATATCGACTTTGAAAGTAGATAAATGAAAACATTAAAATATGCATTATGAATTGGAATCATGGTGTTATGCATGCTTGTATTAGACACTACAAATACTACAAACTAACAGAAAGTTTTTTCTGTTATTTTTGTCACTGACATTTGAAAAAATAGTTTAAAGTTCATTATAAGACAAAGTTAGCCAAGAAAACTTGAAAAAAGTGACTTCTCTTATTAGGCAAAATAGAGAGGTATATACCGGTAAATAAATTTTAGCTTTTATTGATATTTGAAAGTGTGTATCGATATTGTATTGGATGATATAGCGATATTAAATGACAGCCGTAGTCTGTACTGGTAGCCCATGAAAGATTTTTATATTAAAAAGGGGCTACTTTTATACATGTACATTTACACCATGAATAGCTGTGATAAATTCTACATTTAATCATTCACTTAAATTTAAATAGAACAGAGAATTTGGATACACTTACACTGTACTTTTCTGTCTTGATTAAAAATATTAAAGATTTTTGACAAGTATTTTACTCATACAATTTACAGATGCTTCACCCCCGACACTTCACCCTAGACCCTTTTTTGCAGACACTTCAGCCCTCGGACAGTTCACCCCTCATTTTAAGAAATTTGATTGAGACACTTCAGTCCCCATTTTTTTTCTTTTGTGTTTAACAATTATTTCTGTAGAAAATGTTAAATGTATTCAATAGTGATTGAGTATCTTTATTGTTTTAACCAAGACGTTAAGATATATATGTCATAACATATTTTATTATTATTCTATCATGTAATTGACCAAAGACATAGAGGATATTCAAGTTTTTTCTATAGATACATGATTGATTTTCATCGAGTGGTATGAAAATAAAATTTATTTTCATACCACTCGATGAAAATAAATCATGTATCTATAGAAAAAACTTGAATATCCTCTATGTCTTTGGTCAGTTACATAAATATTTCATCAGTGGCGGTAGCCACGAGTGAAATATGGTAATTTTCATGCCACAAGATGAAATAAATCATGTATTTATAGAAAAAACATGAATTTTTTGTTTATTAATATTATATACATTTTACTCTTTTTTTGCGATAAAAATGAAGGACTTTCCCTTAAAATTTGTGTACTGGCAGAATTTTAAAAGAAAGTAGTCCGGCAAGACACCAGTGAAAATACGGAAAATATGTTTCACTGCAGTGAAAAATAAATTTTTACAGTGAAAATACGGAAAATGAAAATACGCATTTTATTTCATCAATATTTCTCAATATTTCATTTATAAGACGTATATAATAAAATGGATATATTGTTGCTTTTGCCCTACAAAAAAGGCTCATATCACAGTTAATGGAAAATTTTTTAGCTCACCTGTCACAAAGTGACATGGTGTGCTTTTGTGATCGCTTTTCGTCCGTCCGTCATCCGTCCGTAAACTTTAACTTTAAATGACATCTCCTCATAAACCACTAAGCCAATTTCATCCAAACTTCACAGAAATGTTCCTTTGGTAGTCAACTTTAAAAATTATTCAAAGAATTAAATTCCAAGCAGAACTCTGGTAACCATGGCAACAAAAAGAAAAAACTTAAAATATCTTCTTTTAGAAAACCGTAAGAGCTAGAGCTTAAATATTTGGCATGAAACATCATCTAGTCAGTGTCTACCAAGTTTGTTCAAATAAATGCCCTGGGGTCAAAATTGGCCCCGCCAGGGGGGGGGGTGTCATTGATTTTCCTTATTTGTATATAGTAAAAACTTAAAAAATCTACTTTTAAAAAACCCAAATAGCTAGAGCTTAGCTATTAAGCATGAAACATCTTCTAGTGGGTGTCTACAAAGTTTGTTCAAATAAAAGCCCTGGGGTCAAAATTGGCCCCACCCCAGGGGGTCGTTCTTTTTCCCTTTATGTTTATAGCAAAAACTTAAAAAATCTTCTTTTAAAAAACCTTTAGAGCTAGAGCTAAGATATTTAGCATCAACATCTTCTAATAGGTGTCTACCATTTTTGTTCAAATAAGGGCCCTTGGGTTAAAATTGGCCCCACCCCAGGGATCATTGATTTTCCTTAAATGTATATATACCATAAAGCAATGTTAACCTTTTCCCTCATATAAGCGTGTTTCGACGGCTTTTCGCCCCCCCCCCCCTCCCTTTTTAAGGCCTCAAACATTGAAAAAATGCTCTATTTAGGCCCCAAACACTGGTTTTCGTTTGAGAAATGTTGTTAAAAAAAGTGACCACTTTTTCGGCGCGGTCCCCCATCCAAATGTTACATCAGGGGGTTGCCAGAAGGGGGATATGTCCCCTTCTGGTTGGGGGGTTTGAAGGAGGGCAGAGTCCCCCTCATCGCCAAGAAAATTTTGGACATGTGACCAGCTTAAAATGGCCTCAGGTCGATCTTAGGGTAACTAGTAACCGACGCTGAAAAGCCTTTTACTCTATCTCTATTCATTGAGAAGTTGCAGCACTTTGAAATCAGTTTTGATGGAAAAAAACAATGCAAAATAGTGATTTTTGGCAATTTGAGACGTCCCCCCCTTGCCATGGTAACAGGAAATTTACGATTGAGCATGCTGTTAAAGAGGCTATGGTGTAGTCAACATTTGTGCCAAGTTTCATCAGTATTGAAGCATTTTTCATAGTTTCATAGCAGTTTGAACTTGTTACAGGAGGCTTTTCAATGAAAACGGCCATTTTTCGCAATATGCTCATGGGGTAAAAGGTTAAGATGGTTTTATCAGACAAACAGAACTTCCCAACCTTTTCCGTGTCGTCTGCAAAAATATTTTCCGAAGTATTGATTTACCTAAAATGGGGTTAAGTTATTGCGCATGGATATTCAAACTAGAATTCCCCATGTGTTGCTTATTTTAGAAAGTCGCAAGTTCTCTTATGTAACTTTAAATAACAGGAAAAACTTCAAAACAAATAAATCATTGTACTATTTTAAATGCTGTTTAGCATAGAAAACAAATATCTCACTGATTGATGAAGTAATGTGGATGCCTTACTGGTAAAAATAGACTGTACTGGACGAAAATGATAAACGGCCAGAAAACTGCTAGGGGACGGAAATTGATAGTAAACCAGTATATTTTTATCTTTCATACAATATTATTTATTTTACATTCAATATTATTTAGTCCTTTAATTAAAAAGTTATTAATCAAATAATATTAAGAATAATTTAAATAAATAAAAAATTTGATGAGGGGTGAAGTGTCTTGACGGGTGAAGTGTCTGCCGTCTGGGGGTGAAGTGTCTTCCTACCATTCAGACAATAAAGCTCTATATAAAACAGTTGTTTAAGAAATAATATATCCCAAACAGTGATTCTATCGCTCAATAACATCACTGTTTGGAGTTCGGATGCGAGGAATTATATCACGAGGGCTTAGCCCGAGTGATATAATGATGCGCATCCGAACGACAAACAGTGATGTTATCAAGCGATAAAATCACTGATTTGGATATATTATTTCGATTCTAACACAACATCAACAAATAAATGTTGCCGTACTTGATAGTTAAGCAAATTTGCGCCTGATTTGTTTCCGTACTTATTTTCAGCGCGTCGGATTTTTGGTGGTTACGTCACGTGTATAATGATTACGTCACATGCATAATAACAAACACTTTCTGTTCTTCTATGTTCAATAGGAAAAAAATGCGGGTCTTGTTAGAATTGGAAATTTAACCCTAGTCTCTAGTTGCATGTCACATTTCTACTTTTAAATTAAAATTTTTATAATATTATGCTTAAAGTTCCTTTTATCTGAGTGTAAGCTAAAGAAATACATATCAACGTACATCTACTTACCAAAAGTTTTTAGCAAATTAAGTCCTGAATCCAGGTCGGCAGGTGAATGATTTGTACATCTTTTTCTCGAGTGTATATTTGTAAAATGGAGGTTTTTTTTAACATTTTTGAAACCTCATCAAGAGTGTATTGAATATAAATCTTCAATTTTCTTCCATATTCTCTTATTATAACTTGATTGCATTCATTATAATGTTGACTTTTGTAGATGTCAAACCGTATCCGAAATATCAGTCCGAACACTATTATACTTATAGCTCTCCGATTTATCGCACGTTCCCAACATCATGTAAGGATTTGGCTATCCAGGAAACATACTGTTTCTTTTTTTAAGACAATAAAAAGTCAGTTCTGCATTCGTAAAATACGTTCTTCATACAATAAAACATTCATTTAAAATGTTAAAATATTCAGAAAATTGCCTCCGCTGGAACGGAGATTTCCGGTTAGCTGCGTTGTTTGGCTAATATACGAACGAATTATTTTCATCGGATATTATTATGATCAAATCTCCGTCGATTCCAAAATGGATAGTAGCTGGATTTGTTATTTGAGAAAGGGAATGAACAAATCGTCTGCTAATCGGCCATTTTTTTTTTCTTCATTTTTATCCCTTAACTTTTTTCCTTAAAAGATAAGGGAGCATATGGGCTACCTTAATATTTAAGGGAAAAATCGGCCAAAATTAAGGAATTTTTGTCTCTAAGGAGTTTTATGAATAGCAACTAAGGAAATTCTTAAAAAGTAAGGGAAATTCTTAAAAAGTAAGGGAAATCTTACGTTTTTTAAGGGAAATCTTAGAATCTAAGGGAATTTTTTCCCTTAGGAGCTTTATGCAATTAGTCTAATAGCCAATTTACTACAATTAAAACTCTGGAAAGCATTGGTGGCATATAAACATATAATCTCACAACCTGCACCTTTCTTACATTCTGAGACCCAAACAAATTCAGCGCCTTCTGTGCTTTGATTGGTTGTGTTGTGACATTTTGTTTCGAACCGTAACTTAACCAAAACCGATATCACAAACTAAAATTTTTGTTGTCAAGAATAATGAAATGACAATCTACTGTAAAGATTTATGAATGAAAATTTAGTCAATACCCTGGAGCATGTTGGCACGTTATTTGTTTCAATACATATCAAAGGCTGTTAACACTGAATCATGCAGATTTGTGTTTGAGTTTGTTTCAAATGTATCATAAATTTTATTATAAACAAATAAAATGATACGTTTACCAATATCTTCTTCTGTTCACAATGCATGCAAATATCCATTGAAAGAAATATTTGAGAAAACTGGTTGATAAAAATAACTAATATCGAGTGAATATGTGCGAATAAAAATTGTTTTTGAAAACAATTTTTCTCACGCACTATTTGAAATCAATATAAATTGATGTATTCACATCACTATATAAATGTGTTTCTTTACAAAATTGAAAGCAATAAATTTTAATAAAGCTGGAATTGTTTTACACTTAATCACTTAAGAAATTGCAGTTTCAGCCATGTTTCAGAAGTGAATGAATGTGTATTCTCGTGAGTTTGAATGGTTAAAATTCTAGTGAAAGAAAAACATGTATAAACAACAATGTTCTACAGAATGTTTAAAATGAAGACAGCATGGTTGTTTACTTTACTAAAAAGTTGTTTATCATATTTTAGACATGATGAAGAACAGACAAACAAGTAATTCATACACAAACTTACTCTAAACAATAATTCTTGAACTGAACTCGGAGAATATTATTTATATTTTATGCTAACATATTAATATGATTTATCGAGACGATTTTAAAAATATTTGAAATTGATTAATTCGAGATATCACCATTTGGTATGCTATTCTGTTTGAATGATGATAATGTTAAACATCCTTTACTCTGTTTGTATAATAAAATGATAATGTCCTTTACAAAATACATGTAAAGACTTGTATGATTCAATAAGAAAATCAACACTTACAAAAAAACATGTCTGAAATGCAATCGAATTAAAAAAAAATATGTTATGTGCTGATGAATTCATGTGGCCGAAACGTTTGTATTATATAATTGCTAAATATTCACGTTTGTGGGCTTTGTTTATGAATACTCTATTTTCTCAATATTACATCAGACATGTTTGGGAAGGACCGTTTATGAAGACATTTTCAAAAGATATAAGTTCCATTGTAATTGGAATGTAACATGTAACTGTTGCACATATGTAAACGAATTCCGTTTTTAATTAAACATATGCAACATGTGGCCTTGGTACTAGCAAAGAACACTTGATCTAATAAAAAAGTAACAAGATTTGCTAAATCAGGGCCTTCCCCAGAAATTTCTGTAAGCGAAACTTGGAGGGGGTGGGTGTGGGAGGGTGGTATACCCCCCTCCCGCATGTCGAAAAAATTTTGAAACCTTACAAAGGAATGGTGTATTTTGGTGCATATCTAATGAGAGTTAAGTCAAGCAAAAGGTGTTCAGTATTAACATATTTTATTGTCTTTTCAAATAACTTTAACAGAAAAATATATATCGCACAAAAAATTTAAAACAATAATATTATATCAATTAATTATGACTGCCTAGAGCTGGCTACGCCTTGGTTTCTCCTTGTGCCAAATTTTCACCATGGAGTTGATATCGACCTTTTCTATTTGTGCTCCTAACATCCCAACAGGAAGGATGGGGTTGAGAACAGGTGGGCTCAAAGATGCCCTGTGTGTTGTTTTTACCCTCTTGAGGGTGGAAAATCCACGCTCACAGTCTGTAAAAAAATTCTTTCATGAATCAAAATAAAAACAAAAAAAGTAATGTTGTTTACATTGCAAAAAGTAAGTAATTGTTTTAATTTTGTTTTGTTTAATATTTGAAATTTTGTGACTGAATAGTTTGTATGATTTGATTTATATTTGTAGTTTTTATTATTCTCACCTGATGTTGATGTTGGGATCAACAGCCCCACAGCAGCAAGTTTGAAGAGGTTGGTGTGGCTGACGTTCAAATTTGTGGTAACCCACTCCATGGCCTTGTCTGCTGCAAGCACACTGTCAGCAATGGATTCCCTAACTTGGCACCACTCATGAAGGGTCTTGTCAACCACAAAATAGATAAATACAGAATCCCTAAAGAAAGCCCAACACGGCAAAATTGAAAATGTTGCAGGCTCGGTTTGATTGAGCCTGTTCATGGACGGTACTGGAAAGTGCATGTTACCGTCCACGCCCCCTAGCTGCGGCTTAAGCAGAATTCAACATTTAACATGAACAGTCCAAAGTGCTCAGCCAGCATCTTTAATACAATTTTTATCTTGTAAATGAAGTTACAAATAACTAAAATATGATAAACAAGATCAACAAGGAAAGGCGGCGTTCAATGAACGCAACCCCCATATGTACCAGCAACAAGAACCAATGGCAAGGAGCCCAGGCGGACCCCAAACATAAAAAGGACAGGGCAACGACACGTTAATCATTAAACGATAAATAATTAGTAACTGATTAGGAATTCAAAGAAAAAATAATAATAGGCCCACAAAGGGGAAGGGGACAGGACACCGGGGGAAAGGGGGGGGGGTTAATCAAAGAAATAAAAACTAGAGGCAATGGGGAAGTTACTTACCGTAGACGAGAAAACAACAAGGGACACAAGCAAAAGTGTCACCAAAACAGTATGAAACAACAAGTTGTAGTTCATGCGGATAAATGTCAGACACCATTTGATCAAAATAAGGATTATCTAAATTAAAAATATCATCAAGGTATCTGGAAGTATTATTAAATGCGACTATAACATCTTGTTGTTTATCTTCAGAGAGACTCAACATAAAGTCTCTTTCATAGCAGTACAAAAACAAATCGGCGACCAGGGGTGCACAATTAGTACCCATAGGAATTCCTATGATCTGTTTAAATAGGGTATTACCAAACCTAACATAAATGTTGTCTAAAAGAAAAGAGAGTGCTCTACAAACTTCGTCATAGGTCCACATAGTATAATGTTTTACAATACCGTTAGTAAAAAAAGCTTTGTTAGAATTACATGCTAGAAAGGTAACTTTGTCCCGTGCAAAAGTTTTCTGAATTAGGGAAATTAGTTTATCATTGATTAATTTATGTGGCAAAGTTGTATAAAGTGTAGGAAAATCGTATATACTGACAGTTGAAGCTTGAAAGTTCTTAATTTTGAATTTATCCAATATGATAAACAAGATCAACAAGGAAATAGATAAATACAGAATCCCTAAAGAAAGCCCAACACGGCACAATTGAAAATGTTGCAGGCTCGGTTTGATTGAGCCTGTTCATGGACGGTACTGGAAAGTGCAAGTTACCGTCCACGCCCCCTAGCACCGGCTTAAGCAGAACTCAACATTTAAACATGAAATAGTAAAATTTTGAATTTAGAAACATCCGCAGATGTGTTCATACGGCGGTTATCATGGAACCTTCAATGTGACACTTCCGTGCCATTCCATGAAAATCGGCATATGGTCCCCAAGTAATAAAAAGCGTGTGCCCCAAACGAGAAAACAATGGGCGGAACTAAATAAAATGGAATTTTGAAAGGGGATCAGAGGTTATGAAGCCTGCGTATCACAGATAAGACGTCAAAAGACAAATTTAAAAAGCAGGCAACATATCCTAGGGGTGATTCAACATTATTCAAGTAGGAATGTTGGAACCACCCAACTAGAAAATGCCGAAAAGCTGTATATAAAGGATCTGTTTGAATAACTATATTATCTGCCTCCGCGTCTAAGATTTTCAGAGATGATAATGAAAGGGAAGTAAGACGTGATAACATTGCATGTTTACCACAGTTTTTTAAGATAATATTTAAGTCGGTGACAGACAGGTTAATTTTAGATTTACGTTTGATGTTGCCATTTCTACGTACTCCGTGAGATCGGGATTTATGTTTACGAATATTCAGAATAGAAAATACATTGTATATCAATGTTTGGATCTTTAGAGATGTTACCTTGTTGAAAAATATTGTCATTTAGGCCAAGTGGGAAAGTCGTTTGTAAGTTCTTTATCCATTTTAATTCTGCTAAGTGTCTAACTTTAACTTTAAAACTAGCAGAAGCATCAGAATCATAAATTATTTGTTCCACTGGTTGAATGGAAATACTTTTAAATGAATGACCATCTTTACGAAAATGTTGATATAGAAAAGTTGTAAATTTTGTGCGATTTCTCATTTTATAAAAATGTTCACGGAATCGAATTTTAAGAGAACGTCCTGTCTGACCAACATGCTGTATGCCACACCCAAAACCACACAAATCTTAAACGTGTTGTGTTAACATTGCTGGTAAAATGCCCCTGTATGAAAATGTTAGAAGTTAAGTGTTTTCGCACAATAAAGCAGGATTTATCATATATCATATTTTAGGGCTATTAACGGTATCGGATAATACATTCACTTTTCTCGAAACAAGCACAGCTATTAGAATGATGTGAATATGTACATCATACCGTAAACATCTGGAAACAAAGTGATCCCTCGGAAGCATTAATCACAATAAAATTACAAGAGAATTGCAGACTTGGTTTGATTAAGTCTGTACATGAGGGATAATGAATGTGTGCTGTACATGAGGGATAATGAATGTGTGCAACATCCCTCACGCCCCCTAGCACCGCCCCACCACCAAGCAATCTTTCAACGACTTGACTTGGTGGGAGAAAGTGACCACCGCAGTGCTCATGGTTAGGACAGCTTCCTGGTCTTTTGTCCCCATCAGGCACCGGGAAAGGCAGGTAGGTGAGAGGTGGTCCACCAGGAAACCACAGCATACACTAAAAAGCAGGCACTATTGTAAGAAATTCAAGTATAATGCAATCATCAAAACAATGCGGCAATCATCAATGATAAGCATAAACAAAGTCCTTATAATTCCGTGCAGTGCAATGTAACTTTTAAATTGTTTGCATGACTGTCGCTTCAGTCGGTGAGTTTTTCAAGAAAACTTGCCAACAGTAGCGAATGTCTGGATGAAGTTATTTCGCTATATTCAAAGTGTTTTTTGCGTTCATTGAACGCCGCCTTTCCTTGTTGATCTTGTTTATCATATTTTAGCCTCTTAAAATAATAAAATAATAAAACTGGATAACCATGTCATTGTCATCTGGTTTGCCTCGCCTACACAATGGGTGGATGCAGCCATCTTGATAGTAGTATACTACATTTTCTTGGACCATGACTCTGTAGATGTCTACTTCTCAAATCCCATAATATGACCTCATCTAGAAGCTCCTTATTTTCCACCTTTTGCCTCTCCTTTTCAGCTATTGTTCCATTTTTCTACTTTTTAAAGACATGTCTTATTCTTTGTTCCATTGAACTATCCGGTCCTTTGAAAAACTGAATTGTTGTTTTTGCTCAAGGAGCATTATTGTAAAGATCTATAGCACAATTTAGATTTTTTGTCAACATTTCATTGTCTATCATTCCAGTTGATGTATCCATATAAGATCCATGCAGTGTTGATGGAATAAACAAGCCACTTCTGGCACGCCCTTCCATTCCATTCTGCAGTTCCACTCGATTCAAAGTGCTATTTCCCCTGTCCCGACTAGTAATCAACGGCATGCGTGTTGGTTTTTCTAGATGTCTGTTTGTCCAGAATAGCTGCACTTCTTCATGACCGGGCCCTTCATCCACACCTCCACCAACTCTTACACATTCTACTGATCCTTTCAATGCATGAGAAACAGATACATTGTCCACTGTCTCCAGGAAGCACACGTCTGCATAGTGTTGTGCAGGATTTTTGGAATGTACAGGTTGTGCTTTAACTATTCCAGCACATCCTTCATTAGTTGTTTCAGACCCTGTAAAGTTGTAAGATGTCTGAAGGTTTGAGGGGTACTTGTTACAGTCATGAAAGCTCGGACAGGTAAAAGATTTGTAACTACATACCTGACAGCTATTTAAGTCTTTAAAGGTATTAGAAAAACTTTATACAGCCATGTTTATATTGCTGTAAATGTCCCTGAATAAAATGTGTGATGTGTGATTCAATCTGTCCGGAAGTTGGTACAATGACTTATTCTTTGGTATATATCATAGTTTAAAAACACTGATTCTACGCAGCTGCAATCTCAACAACTGTCAAAATCTGTGTCCTAGAGTGGGAACTATGTCTTGAAATTCAACAGGAGGAGACAGGAATCAAACTTCATAATTTGAAATTACTTGGCACAAATGTTTATTATAATAAGACGATGTGTCATGCGCAACAACCAGACCCCTACCTCCAGGGTCAAGGTGGCACTTGCTCATTTAAGGTCAACATTGTCTATTTGAGGGTTTATGTCGTGTCCGGTCCATAACTTTCTTATCTATGAAGGGATTTTGTAAATACTTGCCATAATTGGTCACAATAATCAGACGATGTGTCATGCGCAAAAAACAGTCACCTACCTTTAAGGTCAAGGTCACACTTGGAGGTCAAATATTTACATAGTCCGATACAGGGTATATTTCGTGTCCGGTCCATAACTTTTTCATAGATCAAAGGATTTTGAAAATATTTTGCACAAATAGTCACTATAATCAGAGGATGTGTCATGCGCAACAACTGCATCCCTACCTCCAAGGTCAAGGTCACACTTAGAGGTCAAAAATTAACTGTTATAGGGTATATTTTGTGTGGGATCTAGAACTTCTTCATAGTTCAAGGGATTTTGAAATAACTTGGCACGAATAGTCACAATAATAAGACGATATGTCAAGTACAACACCTGCACCCCTACCTCGAAGGTCAAGGTCACACTTAGAGGTCAAAGGTTAACAGAGTCTGTTATTTGGTATATTTTGTATCCCGTCCATTACTTCTTCATAGATTAAGGGATTTTGTAAATACTTGGCACAAATAGCCACAATGATTAGATGATATGTCATGGGTAACATCTGTGTCCCTACCTTCAAGGCCAAGGTCACACTTAGAGGTCAAATATTTACATAGTTTGTAATACGGTATATTTTGTGCCCAATCTTTAACTTCTTCATAGTTCAAGGGATTTTAAAAATACTTTGCACAAATAGTCTCAATATTAAGACGCTATGTCATGCACAACACCTGCTCCCCTACCTCCAAGGTCAAGGTCACACTTAGAGGTCAAAGCTTAACATGATAGATTTTTAAATTCCGTGTTTCATTTTATTTTATTTTTACCAAATTTATTGTTGCATTTGCAGATCTAGCATTTATCATAATTTTGGACTGAATGTCCTGAGATCCATTATAACCTCAATCTTTTGAAATAGCACAATTTTATGCTTCATATAAAACTTCCCGAGGCGGGGGACGTTGGTAACTCTGTTAAAAATTCTTGTTCAGTTTAAATATAAGTTCAAATTTATTTTGTTATGGTTATCGTTTTTACTGGATAGAAAGTGGTTACAGGAGATAACCTGTTTTAACGTATAATGATATAATGTTAGGATAATCAACAGGCTCCTTGCAAATAATTAAAGTAGCTACGTGTAAGACAACAGTGTTTGTTTAATTACATAGTAATTATATGAAAGTGTTTCTTTAATAGAAGAAGAGGAAAGCCATGATTTTATTTATTGATGAACAGGACTAATGTTAATATACGACTCTGTCCTTTTCTCAAGGTTTATTTTGATTGGCTATCACTACGGTTATTTAATCAATTCTTGCCATCTCAGACAGGTTTACAGTTTTCGTAAAAGTTTTATAGTAAAATGTCTGGTGCAAGACAGCAATAAAAAATTTGATGCTGCATAAAGATTTAAATATATGCAACATAGAATGTTGGTTCTTTTCAACAAGGTAAACAACACACCTTACTTAGGATTGTTTTCTTTATGTAAACGGATGCAAGTTCATATTTAATAGAATACAACATACTTACAATATGAAAAACAAGATCAACAAGGAAAGGCGGCGTTCAATGAACGCAACCCCCATATGACCCAGCAACAAGAACCAATGGCAAGGAGCCCAGGCGGACCCCAAACATAAAAAGGACAGGGCAACGACACGTTAATCATTAAATGATAAATAATTTGTAACTGATTAGGAATTCAAAGAAAATAATAATAGGCCCACAAAGGGGAAGGGGACAGGAGACCGGGGGAAGGGGGGGGGGTTAATCAAAGAAATAAAAACTAGAGGCAATGGGGAAGATACTTACCGTAGACGAGAAAACAACAAGGGACACAAGCAAAAGTGTCACCAAAACAGTATGAAACAACATAGACATACATCTGAGGAACACAGTGGGGCGCCGCCTTGGAACGGTCAGCAGCATAATAATGACTGCTGGGGAGTTTAAACCGGTTAATGGTGCACCAAACCTCGCTCTTAGCCCCACCATGTTCCTATAAACGAGACAGTGTAAATAAAATGAATCTTCAAGTCGAAGGATTTCAAATGATAAATGTGCATTTTCCTTTTCAACCATGAAATCTTATTATTTTGCATTGACCTTTTACTTTTCTTTATTGAAGTTTATGACAGTTATCAGCCTATATAGCCGTATGTTCAAACTTTAAAAAAGCTCTATGCACCCCGTTACCCCCATACCCTAGCTTATGATAGAAAACAAATAAAAAGGTAAGAAAATGTTTCCTTTAAAACTTCATATCATACAAAGGACATTTGATCGGATAAGCGTTATTAATCTGCATACAATGCAGTTTATTTGTGCAAAAATGGTTTATAATTCTAGTTACGGGTAATTTATTTAAAATGCATTAATGTTAACTGAGATTTTTAAGATTGATTATAGACGCATGACAACAAATACTCATTAAATTTAAAATTGGAAATTTGATAAATGTGTACTTTCAGCCTAAAACAGGTACATACAAAGCATCTAACATTATAGTGGCTACATATTATCATGTTGATAAACGATTAAAGGTAATTATACACTAAGGAAATTATGGAATGCCGGTAGGGACATGCCAATTTGCTTATTTGCCAACAACTTAATTGCTTATTTGCTAATTGCTGATTTGCCAATTCGCTTATTTGCCAACAACTTATTTGCTAATTGCTGATTTGCCAGTTTGCTTATTTGCCAACAACTGAATTGTATATTTGCTAATTGCTGATTTGCTGATTTGCCAATTTGTTTATTTGCTAAGTACTAAATTGATTATTTTCTAAATGCTAATTGCTGATTTGCTTACTTGCCAATTTGCTTACTTGTCAATTGCTGCCTTGCGAATGCTGGCAACAAAACCGTATAACTAAACAATTTGGTTTCTGTAATAGCCATTTTTGATGCGCCCAGATTAAGTAGATAATCAAAATCTGACATGTTTTGTATCCTTTGAATGTTATATAATACATATTATATACTGTAGAGCATAATTATTTCATGTATCCCATCGTACGCAAGTTACATCCATGTAAATCAAACCAAGTCTTAATTGTAGTCATACGTGGCCAAAGGTCATTTTTTTTCTCTTTCCTGTTTGTGGTTTTTGCTCCAAAGTTTGATAGTAATGCATAACAATATTATTTTTTTATTATCCACTGTCCCTAAACAAGTGTCTATTTGCCTTGGACAGCATGACAAATTTTTGCCATGGACAGCATGACAAATTTATTGGCCGCACATCAAATTTTTGCATATTTTAATGTGTTAGGATTCTTAACATGTTTTAAAGATGATGATTTAATCAAGCATTATTTCCATCAGGGATTTAGAATTAAAGATATTTCTGCCGCTCTTTATCATAGACATTGCATTAGAAAATCGTAAGTATAGCACTTAGCCATACTTGCCAAGTGGGAGATGTGGTTGGTGTTGGTAGTTTTCACTCCGGATCACGGCAGTAAGCCACATTGAATTCACCAGAGCACAGTTCAACCACCGATCCGTTCCTGGGCAGACTGTCAAGCTGTTTACCAGTACTAGTTGCCTTCACTTTCGCACGGAACTGCTAACTTCTTCACATGCCAGAAGCCCAGAACAGAGGTACAGACTGCGAATGACCGTAGAAAGGAGTTTATTATCACAACGATAGTGACCTGCGCCTTCCGTGAATGGAACACGGGACGCCCGATTCACACTATTGAGCTAACCGGAAGGCTATTGTCGTAGTAAAATGTCGAAATAAATTAATTTTATACATGGGTAGGATTTTCTTAATAATAGTTAGGGTTTATTTTATCACAGGATAAAACATGGTTGCTAATCTAGTTCTCATTTCTAATCTTTTTAAAGTAAGGAAGTTTGGTTTTAGAGGGCTGATCATTACTTATGACAGAATTTTAAGTGTTTTACATGTCAGCTTGTTTTTTAGATAAATTTTAGATAAATTTTATGTTTGGCTTAGCAACTGTTTCCTATTAATTTTTAGCTGCCTAACTATATAGAAAATATTGATGTCTGGTTTATGTACAGTCATGGTATGGGTGGAGCAACGAAGTGTCATCATAAGGTTAACACTTCGGTGTTCCACAAATGCTGCTTACTGCTTAGTGTATATACATGTATAGTGTTCATTAATTGTATATGCAGTGGAGTTCCACTAATAAGACCACCTTGAATGTTTCAAAATCATGCAAATTTCGGCAATATAAAGAGCCAGAGTTTAAGTTATGGAGCTGAAGTGGCTCGCTGATATGGGACCTTTCCGCTGTTGGGGCCATCATTTTGTGTGGTTTTTTTTGGTGGAACTTTACTGTATATGTAAACATATAGTCTCAGATAATTCTTTTTAGAATGACCATATTGTAATTGTAATATGTCTTTTAAAATTGTTAAATATGGATAAGACTCAAATAAAATAAAATATATATGTCGAGTGGGAGAGGCACGCATTTCATGTTTGAATCACTCTAATGCCAAGACGCAATTTCAAAACTTTCGAATAAATAATCAAAACTGAATAAAATCAGACTAATGGTATGGTTTTCAAAAGTTTTGTATACTTCAGTGTTTTTATATAAGGAACAAGTGTTAATAAACATATATTTCATAGTTACATATGTTATAGACATAATACATATTTAAGAATGTACTTTGGCATGGGACATTGCTAACCTGTGCTGGATAGATTTTTATCAAGTGTGTAATAGGGCTAAATGCTTGGCAATTATGTTTTTGTTGATACGCTGATGGGCAATCAGCTAAATTGACAAATAACTCCAATTTAGTTTTTGAATGTCTTGTAATCAACACAAATATAAATAACAAATACATAACAAGCTCCTTTAAAAGTAAATCTTGACATCAAAATTAATGTCCAAAATATTTTTCCATATTGAGGTTACTTTCTACAAATCACAGGTAATCCTGGCATAAATTTATTAAATATTTTCTAAGTTCTTAGTTTGAAGTCCTAATTCTTCTGTCTTTCATTTTTTCATTGAATACCATTATTGTATTGGCAATGGAACACAATGCCCTGGACAAATATTAAGCATGAATAGACTCTTACAGTGAGAGTCGTTTTAGATAAAATTCATTTATACAACAGTGAATCATACATAGTCATTATACATGTACCAATGAAAAATAACCATGTTTTAACCCAATAAAATTTTATAGTAAAATCTAAGACAAATTAAGTCCAGGTTAAAACATGACTGTAACTTAAATAGAAAGGAAAGAGGATATTTAGTAATAGAAAGAGCCCCGAAGCACGAGGTTATCTGATTTGTACGAAGGGGCGTAGCCCCCGAGTATTATAATCATACTGCTGAGTGTTTTTGGTGTTCTTTCTCTTTTGTATCATAGTCAAACATAAAAACACGTTCCCTGTCGTCACAATATAAAACCCCGGCAAAAATGAACCAATGAACGAGCATCTGAATATGATATTTCTGTCGCTTTCCCTTTCTCTGCCGTCACAATATGTAAACCCAAGCAAAAATGAGCCAATCAATGGGCATGCTCTGGAGTGCGGGTAACTTATACCCGCACTCCAGTTAACGCACTGTGCATGTATATGTATACGATTTAACCCTGACACATTTGCAACAGAAAGGTCTCCAAACTATGATACAATAATAGTTTATACAAAGTGTAATGTTCTGAAAATATAGGTTTCAATAAAATATTTTCAAGTAAATCTAAAAACAAGTAATAATTTCTGTATTGAACTTTTGAGAGAAATATTGTCACAGAAGACTTTGTGACAATTGTGAGAGAAAAAATCTGGTTTCATGCAAAATTATCGATTGATCTTTCCACACTTTCAGTGACCGCCAAATCAAGAGGCGGATGAAGGTTCTAAATCTGAGGCGGCGCAGGGCGGAAAGTCCGGTAGAAGATATAATTTCTGCTCTTCATACAGAAGTTGAGAAGAGTGGTCATTCAGCTGGCATTGATATGTTAAGGAGACGATTATTTCTAAATTTCAAGATAATTGCTAAAAGGTTAACAATTAAAATGGTTCAATTTAGTTACTGTTTTTGTTCAGAAATGTCAAATTTAAGAGAATTTAATTCAAAGCAAGTGAGGACCTTTCTAACTCATCTGATTTTTTTTTGAGCTACATGAAAACTGATCTAATTCAAAAACCATCATATGATCATCTTTATGCTATTGACATGATTGAGATATTTGAAATTTTTTACACGATTGAGATATTTGAAAGTAACTGACGTCAAAATTCTTTAAAAAGCCTTTGTCTCTTAAGTACATGAAATTTTACATGACTCGATATGCGCATGCATTAGTGTGTAGTCTTAATATCAATGACTGGATCTGAAGTTTTCATTATCTTCACTTTGATACTAAGATATTTCAAACTGTACATTCATTATTTGATTCAAAAAAACTAGTGCAAGATAGATACTTTCGGCACCTGGACACTCAGTATAAGGAACAGGTTCACTGAATCATTGCAAAATTTAGTAAGATTTCTTACAGATAACATATACATGGTCTCCCGAAGAAAACAAGTGAAACAAAGTTTACGTTTACTCAATAAATCAATGATAATTTACAGTATTCACATTCGACACAATCATTGCCATTGAATTATATGAAAATCTTCAAAGCTTCTCCATTAATTTGAATTTTATACGTCTGCTTTGTTAATCATTTGGTACAGTTTAAAAGAATGACCTTGTTGACTCTGATTGTTAGTGATCACACAGCAGTCCTAAATATTTTCAGGTCAACAGTCAGAGATGTAATTGATCTACTGGTACCAGGGTCACTTGCAAACCGAAGAAAGGGGCGTTTAATGAGAAGGATCAAAACCCAGGACCCAATTATTTGATGCATGTCGATCAGTACGATAAACATGCTAAATATGGCTTCTTTATCCATGGTGCCATTGATGGTTTTAGTAGAAAGATTATGTGGTTGCATTTGGGAAATACTAACAGAGATGGTGCAACAGTCCTGCATTTTTACTTGAAGTGTGCTCTGTCTATTGGAGGTATACCAAAATTTGTGCGGGTCGATGGTGGGACAGAAAATAGACTGATGCTTCAAGTCCATTCAATTCTCAGGAAAACTGAACCTGATCATAAACCATATTTCGTTGGACGTTCTGTTCACAATCAGAGAATTGAAAGGTGGTGGCAATTCCTAAGAACACATTTTACACAGTTCTGGATGGAGGTTTTCACAGAGATGGTAAACCTACAAATTTATGATTCATCTAATGAATTACATTATCAGCTGTTGCAGTTCTGTTTTACTCCTGTCTTAAGGAACAACATAAAAGATATTGTTGAATACTGGAATGGTCATAAAGTTAGGAAAGTTTCCAATTCCCAATGTCCTGCTGGTGTTCCAGAAATACTTTTCACTGTGCCGGAAGTATATGGCAAATCTGATTACAGACAACCAGTTGAGTCAGATCTGTTACTTTTCACTAACAGTATTCTTGGAAAACCACTGAATGAATATAGTTGCAGTGATGCCTATGCAGATATATGTTTACATTTGATGGCTGACATGTCATTGAGAATGCCCTATAATGTGTTTGAAGCTGTAGATCTTTTTGTGCAGCTTTAGTCAGTGATTGGTGCTTAAATAAACAGTTGATTAGTGAGTTATTGCATAAAGATTGAAAAATAAAAAAACTTGAAAAAGAAAATCTTATTTTATGGCTTATAAAATGAGTATAAAAGAATTGTTATTCTTAGCAGATTTGTAATGGAAGACCTCATTTTAGAGAACCAAACAAATAGTATCAGGAATGATCCACTTACTTCTAGCTAAACACTGGTGTGTCTTTGCACTTAGGCAATAGGCTTCGTTTTTAAATCTGTGAGATTTTGAGATCACTTATGTCTGTGTGTGTCTTTGTATGCATGCTACCCAATGTTTATGCAAAGTTGCAGGAAGATATGTCATAAAAAACAAAAGTAACCTAGAAAACCGTAGTGGTGCTAAAACTGAAACTCAAGGTAATTAAGAAAAACAACTGTTTTTTGAAACTGAATTTATTTTTTGAAATTGAATAAAAAGGATCCATCTGAAATGGAGTTACGACCGCTTAATTATTATAATACAATCATATACAATAATATTCTCCTCTGCAGATTCTACATACCTAGGGAAAAGTGTTAAACACTAAAACTAGAAATGTAATTTTGTCACAGCTTTTACAAAATTCGTTTTGCAGATTTAACATAAATCTAACATATGCAAAATATGCAAAGCAAAGAAAGACACTGCTGTAAGATCAAACTATTTTTCAAACTAGAAATGTGTCATCATGCCACTGATGCCCCTGCATGCAGCCAAAAATTTAGATGTTATAATATTTAGTTCCAAATTTGTTTGCACAAATTATTTTTTTCATTTTAAGTTCAAAGCCCTTAAAACTATTCAATGTTAACACAAACCATTTTTATACAATGTTAAAGGCATTAAAATTTTTCAGTCTTAACCTTTTGTAAATTGCATATTGCATATTTGTAGCCAAAAATTATGGCCACATACATTTCCAAAAAAGTACTGAAACTTAAAATTTCTGATTTTTTTTCCAAGTTCAAGAGGGATAACTCTGTCAGCTATCATCAAACCATGACCAAATTCGAAATTGACCAATGCATTCTTATGACATATCCATATCTTTAATTAGAGTTGAATATGTGAGGGAGATAATGAATGGGAACTGAAAATTTCCTTTTTTCAAAGTGAAAGGGACATAACTCTGCAAAAAATCGTTGAACCATGACAATATTCATACTTGACCTGTGCATTTCTTTGATGTATCCATATGTCAAATTTGTGTTGAATGTGTAATACCCTAGAGGAGATAATGAACAGAAACTGAAAAATTCATATTATTTTCAAAGTAAAAGGGGAATAACTCTGCCAAAAATCATCGAACCATGACCAAACTATGTATGGTAGCTCATGTGAAGTTTCATTAAAATCCCACCATTAGTTTGTCCAGTGACAGCTGGAGAAGGTTTTTCTATTCATAGCTCTGATGGCCATTTTGTCCACTAAAGCGAAACGACAAAGGAAGGTACTGATCACTCCTGTAAAGTTTGGTTGAAATACTATTAGTTTGACCTGTGAAGGGCGGACAAGCTTAATGCGGACAGACGGAGAAAGCAAAAACAATACACATAAGCGTAATAGTATGTCAATGATTGGCTAAATAAACAAGATATAGTGTAACAGAAAATACAAGAAAATATACCTCATGTATGGGTTCAAACTAATGATGAATAACATGAACGTCATTCTACATAAGCGTGATGCTATGTCAATGATTGGCTAAATAAACAAGATATAGTGTAACAGAAAAAAACAAGAAAATATAACTCATGTATGGGTTAAACTAATAAAGAATAACATGAAAATGATTCTATGCTATGTCAATGATTGGCTAAATAAACAAGATATAGATGAGATATGACTAGAAGCAATGGTGATCACACACAAGTTCTGTCTAATGCATAATCATTCTTCAGTCTTTCAAACAATGCAAAACCAGAAAAATCATTTAATACTACTTTTGACTTCACTATACCAAACTTTAAAACTATCACTGACCGTTTCATCAAGTTTAATGATATTTGGCATAACAGACTCTAATTTGATAGTGTTAAATTTTGATTTTTTCAAAAAATACAGCAAAGGAATGTCCACATAGTAGGTATATTGAAATTCATGGGTTAAAACTAATGATGAATAACATGAACGTCATTCTACATAAGCGTAATGCTATATCAATGATTGGCTAAATAAAACAAGATATAGTGTATCAGAGAAAAAACAAGAAAATATAACTCATGTATGGGTTAAACTAATGAAGAATAACATGAACGTCATTCTACATAAGCGTAATGCTATGTCAATGATTGGCTAAATAAACAAGATATAGTGTACCAGAAGAAAAAAACAAGAAAATACAACTCATGTATGGGTTAAACTAATGAAGAATAACATGAAAATGATTCTACATAAGCGCAATGCTATGTCAATGATTGGCTAAATAAACAAGATATAGATGAGATATGACTAGAAGCAATGGTGATCACACACAAGTTCTGTCTAATGCATAATTATTCTCCAGTCTTTCAAACAATGCAAAACCTGAAAAATCATTTAATACTACTTTTGACTTTACTATACCAAACTTTAAAACTATCACTGACCGTTTCATCAAGTTTAATGATATTTGGCAAAACAGACTCTAATTTGATAGTGTTAAATTTTGAATTTTTCAAAAAATACAGCAAAGGTATGTCCACATAGTAGGTATGTTGAAAATCAATAGAGTTTCTCATTTCAAAAAATTCATCTAAAAGTTCATCCGAGACCAGAACAAACTGACCCCAATGACTGTCAACAATATCAAGATCTACACCACTCTGAAACTTCTTGTCAACAAAATATCTAACCTTAACATTATTGAAATAAAGAGGTGTATAACCCGGTTTTGATAAAGATGATTCTTCTTTATTATCACTTCTCTTATCTGTTACAGATTTCTGTATAATGTTCTGAGCTCTAACCATTGTTAGGTCATCTTGGCTGAGAGATGATAATGATAAGGTACAAGTGCTGGCTTTCACTATTTGTAGCTCATTCTTGTGTGTTTCTGTTTCGGCAATGGCAAGTAATCCCCCACTTTCGTAACCAGTACTGCTGTCATCAACTCTCTTGGTGTTTGTCCTGTTTTATTGTTTCATGCAACACTAATCCCCCACTTTTATAACCAGTACTGCTGTCATCAACACTTCTTGGTGTTTCTCCTGTTTTTATTATTTCATGCAACACTAATCCCCCACTTTCATAACCAGTACTGCTGTCATCAACACTTCTTGGTGTTTCTCCTGTTTTTATTGTTTCATGCAACACTAATCCCCCACTTTCGTAACCAGTACTGCTGTCATCAACACTTCTTGGTGTTCCTCCTGTTTTTATTGTTTCATGCAACACTAATTCCCCACTTTCGTAACCAGTACTGCTGTCATCAACACTTCTTGGTGTTTCTCCTGTTTTTATTGTTTCATGCAACATTTCCACATCCTTTTGAGGAGTTAAATTTGGCGGCAGAAGGTCAAATAAATCATCTGAAGAACTGCAAAGAAAACAGACATCAAATATGTATCTTGAAATTTACAATGTCAGATATAACAAGAGCCACTGCCAGGCGGGGGCAATGCTCAACTTAATTACTTTTTCTAAAAGCAAACCCAAAAAAAACTGTTAAAAAATCAAAGAAAAAAGTTTTCCTTTTTTCTTAAACTTTAATAGGTCTGACTAGTCACATGTAATGTTTTATCCAAGTATGAATTCTTTCCATAAGTAAAGGACAATGTTAAGAAACAAGATATGTTTGTAAAACATGTATGCCCCCTATCGGCAGCCAATTTGTCATGTGATCAGGTTATTATGCATGACTTCTGACCCAGTGAACAAGCGATTAATAAGGGTTATCTAGTATCTACTGGTCATTTCTACTCACAAGGTAATAATTATTGTGACCCCATAGGTTGTGTGCAGCAATTAAAGTTATTAAAAATCTTACCAAATAATATATACATAAATTTTATGAATCACATAGGCCTCATTAATGACCAATCATCATACCAAGTTTGAAATTCCTAGGCCTAAGCGTTCTTTAGCTATTGATCAGAAACCGTTTTTACCTACAAGGTCAATGTGACCTTGACCTTTGACCCCTTGACCCCAAAATCAATAGGGGTCATCTGATGGTCATGACCAATCATCATACCAAGTTTGAAGTACCTAGGCCTAAGCGTTCTTTAGTTATTGATCGGAAACGGTATTCACTTTAAAGGCCAATGTGACCTTGACCTTTTACCCCTTGACCCCAAAATCAATAGGGGTCATCTGCTGGTCATGACCAATCACCATATCAAGTTTAAAGTTCCTAGGCCTAAGGGCTCTTAAGTTATTGATCGGAAAGCATTTTTACCTACAAGGTCAATGTGACCCTGACCTTTGACCCCAAAATCAAAAGGGGTCATCTGCTGGTCATGACCAATCACCATATCAAGTTTGAAGTTTCTAGGCCTAAGCGTGCTTTAGTTATTGATCGGAAACCGTTTTAACATACAAGGTCAATGTGACCTGGACCTTTGACCCCTTGACCCCAAAATCAATAGGGGTCAACTACTGGTCATGACCAATCACCATACCAAGTTTGAAGATCCTAGGCCTAAGGGTTCTTTAGTTATCACTCGGAAACCATTTGGTCTACAGACCGACAAGTGCAAAGCAATATACCCCCTCTTCTTCGAAGTAAATATAATAAAAAAACAACCATTAACGGTCAAGGACATTTACAGGTCAAAGTCATATCTCAATTATTCCACATGTCTGTTTCGTCACAAGTATTGTTTCTTCAACATATGACGAAAATCATACATACATAACATAATTATGACAACCAAAGTGCAAGGTTGTTTTGTCCAAGAATGAAAAAAAATCCATTGATTAATTACAAAGTTACAGCCAATTATAGCAGTATTCAGTGAAAATTACACAAACTGACCTTTAAGATCAAGTTCATACACGAGTCAAGGTCAATTTGAGTTTGATATTCATGAAGATCATGACCTTAAAGATTGATCAACATGAAGTTAATCCATTGATATATGAAAGTTATAGCCAATAACAAAAAAGAAGATAATTTCATTAAAACTAACTTGACAGTCAAGGTAAATTTAAAGTCTTGACCTTAATCCATACATAAGTATCGAAATGATGACAACTGATTGAACCAAATTCAATAATTTGACCTTGATGGCTAAGGTAATTTTAAGGTCAAGGTCAGTCCAACCTTATAGAAGGCCTTGTTCAAATTTATGTTTTGTCAAAGTATAGGGATACTCCATTGATAAATTATCAACTAAGTCAATTATAGCAAAAATCAGTGAAAATTCAATGAGTTAACCTTCAAGGTCAAGGTCATTAAAGAGCCAAGGTCAATTTTAATTTTATATACATGAACGTCTTAACCTAAAGGTTCTATTACAATATGAAGACAATCCATTCAATAATAACAAAATTATAGCAAGTCATAGCAAAAATAAGCTAAAAACAAGCAAAATTCAGACATTTAACCTTGACTGTTTGTTTGTTTGTTTCATTTTACGCCTTTTCCCAACAGTATTTCAGTCATATAGGCGGGTAGTTTCCTAACCATCGTTCCTGGAGAGTTAAACCAGTACTTGACTACCTTCCTCTGCGCTAAACATTTAACCTTGAAGCTCAAGATAATTTTTGGATGAAGGTCAATGTTAGTTTGCTTTACTAAAAGGTATTCCCAAGGGTTGTTGGGGCCAAGTATGAAGACAATACACCAAGAACTTAAAAAGTTATGATCAACATACAAGTTTGCGGGCGGCAAAGTCGACATGAATAACAATACCTCTACTTTTTTTAAAAAAAAGTCTAGCTAAAAAGGCATGTACCAGTAAAAAAGATTTCTTTTTGAATTCCCATGTGTATTAAATTCATATAATCTTTATAGGCAACTAGTAACTGTTCATCATGAAAGCCTAAGATCACTCACATAAGATTTTTGTTAATGTTTAAAATGCAAATATTTTTTCTAAAATTTTTAACCTGTGACTAGAGCTGTCATTGATTCAGTGTAAAACATATTGATGATATACCGGTATCAGATGACAAACATCAGCGATACACCAGTATATTGATAAATACTCCGAACTCCATGTATATAATTCTTTTTCATACCTGTTTAAATTATTTAAGTAAAATGAATGTTCTGTTCATGCAAATATGTTGTAGCCCTTTTCTAAATGACCTTTGCAACATTTTTTTCTGACCATATTTTGTAATGACTGCTATGAAATGTGTCCATTATGTAACAACAGATTAGTGTTAGACATGGCTACCTGCTTTTGTATAATTATGTTCTTAGTGAATTCTAATAATTTGTAGGCATTTAAAATAATATCAAAATAATCATTTTTTCTCAAATATGTATAGATTAATGATCGACAGAAAAATGTAAACAATACATCAATATCATCTCTATCGATGACAGCTCTGCCTGTGACATAATCGTTTACCAAAATACTATTCTATGAAAATACAGCTAAACATGTGACTTTACTAATGATAGACAAGGTTTATTCGCAATTTGATTGTGCATCTTACTTTTGAACCAAAGGTGACAATTAAAACATAGGCAATTATGATTTTAAGCACCCAACACTGCTTACCTTGACGTTTCAAATGTTTCTACAGCCAAATATAACCTTGTTGCTCCAAGATAAGCATATGATTTTACAAATGTTCCAACAGTAAATCCATCTGGATCAATTTTATGGTTTGAGTTGTCAATCAGAAACATCTCAATAGTTTTTGAGAGTTGAAATGCCTCACAGATATCATCAATACATTTTTCATAAGATGCATTCCTGTCTATGTGCAGCTTCTGGATGCCTCCTCCATATTTTCTGTGTACTAATGTGTATGAGTTGATACTGTCTTTGTACTTGACCCCTGCATGGATTACGAGATCTTTCTTCCCAATTTTGGGCTGCAAACAAGAAAATAATGCCTTTTGAAAAATTCTAATTCAGATTTGAACAGATGCAAGTTACTCATAATAGCAATAAAAGTTTGCTAAAGGTCTCTTGATGATAACAAATACCAAACTGTTTTCAGATGTTGTGGGTCATATATCCTTTGAAGAAATTGCTGAAACAGAATGGAAAAAGACATTCATCAGTAACAGTAGCTCACCATGAGCACTTCATGAGGCTAGGCTTACATCAGGCTAAGCAGTTCTAAGTTGCAACAATTGCAGAAACTTGAAAGAGAAAAATGAGACTTTTTAGTCCACATACATGTTATAGTTTCCACTAGGCCTACCTTTTTACAGACAAAATTATATCAAAAGTATAATTATAAATGTATAAATATCTCCTACATGCTAAAACTTTATCCTCATTTTAACATACCTTCTTCCCAGAGGCATCTGTTGTCATCTCTCTTTTTTTTACATTTTCCTTGTAATGATAATAGCCTTTCTTTTACATTGAACAGCAGTGTCTGAAACATATAAGCTGAAGTTAAAGGTAACAGTGAAAAACAGTGGTTAGCCTAAAATAAAATTTGAAATTCTTTCATATTAAATCTTTAATAAATCAACTGGTTCACTTAAATTTGAAAAACAAGCAATAGATGATATAAACATTAAAAAAATATTTTTGGGAAACGGATTGAGCGAATTATCTGAAATTTTGTACACAAATTATTGGTCCAGACTTATATGTACATCTAGTTGTAACTAGAAATGCGTCAATAGGACCGGGGTGCCCCACACGACACTGTTCTGTCAATATTATGACTCTAGGTCAAATATTTTTTGGACTACATGAGCCACAAGTTGAAAACTTAAAATCCCTTTCTTAGTAAGGGCAAGAACTTTACAAATACTGATAAAATCCACAAGCAAACCAGTACACATGCTGACCAATATTCTTGTAAACTTTCAGGCCTACAAGTCAAATACTTTTTGAGCTATGCATGAACAAGTTGAAATTCTGTAAGTCAAGGGCAATAACTCTAACAAAACTGAAAAAAAAACACATGCCAAGTCCCAGGTGCATAGCTTCAGTGCTGTTGATCATTATTCCTTTAAAGTTGGTTGATTCTAAACTCCAGCACTCAAGGAACAAATAACACAACATAATGAAACAGTTTTTATTTAGTCAAAGGCAATAATTTTACAAATACTGGATAAATCCACAAGCGAAACCCAACCTGCATATCTACATATGTTGAGCAACATCCTTTTTGAGTTACATGTGACACAAATTGAAAATTGCAATTTTTACCAAGTCAAGGGAAATAACTCTAAAAATACTAAATAAATCCACATCAAAATACCCAGGTGCACAATTGCACATGCTGATCAACATTCCTGTTAAGTACTTTTTGAGTTACGTGCAACACAAAAGAGAACTGACGGACGGACGGAAGTTCTCACAGGACAGTAATTATGTGGCTACTCTATTGTTCTCTCTATTGTTCTTTTTAGCCACACAAAAGAAAATAGCCACAAAAAAGCATTACGGATTGGATGACATCGAAGAGAAAGAACCGTTACCTATTGTCCCTCTAGCCACATAATTGCTCTCCTGTCAGTGTGGATGGACGGACGGGCAAGGGTAAATCTAAATCCCCCCCCCCCCCCCAAAGTGGGGACACAAAAATATGTTCTGTCCAGGGCTTTCAAGTGACATGGGTATCCCAGTTTTGACTCGATGCACACATTTGACTCCTGACAAAATCTGCACAAGAGTCAATTTGCCTCATGCGAATTTTTTAGCTATGCATCAATTATTACCTTCAATCCGCTCCTTATCACCTATCAAATCCTACATATGTTCAAATCACACTCATTTAAAGTGTCAGCTCTACACACACTGTTTATTGCATGTGCACTGGAGCGTGACTTCAGTTTACCATGCAATTTGACAGCGCTAAAAATAGCTCTACTGTGAACATCTGATAAGAATTAAATACGGAGGTGTCAATTATTGATTACTTTACAAAGAGTTTCTGAATATTGGTTATTTCTTTTTTATTTATTAAAATACCTTTTTAATTGTTTTACTATTATTTTTTATTATAATTTGTTATTTATAATGTTTTAACTTTCAGATCTGTTATATGTATAGTAAATATGTTTTATGTCTTTAATTTTTGTTATTGTCAGTGTTTTTTTTTCTTTATATAACTACTACCCTAAAACGGTACTGTTCCCAGTAGAAAATAGACATTAAAATTCCCAATTTCCAATGTTAAAATTCCCAAAATGGCTGTTCAAAATTCCAACAAGGCCAAGTAATTTCTCTGAAATCATTTAAATCCAACATATTCATATAAATCACCACTCAGTAGTTCTACTTGGACAGTGGAAGCTGTTAGCTATCTTTATTCAATCTTATTTGTAGCTGAAAAAATGCATTAAAAAATATTCCCTATGTAAGTCAAAATAACGCATTTTTTTAGATAGAGTATAGTTGTGAATGTGTGAAGACGTATAAAATGTCACTCTTGGAAAAATTCTATATTTTGTTGGATATATATGTTGGATACTTATAAATTTATATGGATCTACAGATAAGTTAATACTATTTCATTTGCTGACAATGACAGTTTAAAAAAATATTAATTATGAACTTATAAGCTAAAACAGAAACATCCTTTGTTCTCAATAAAAAAACGCTCACCATTGTATACATTTGAAAGCTACAATCCTCCCCGAGGGGCAATGGCGGATAGTGGATTACAAACGGAATCAGAACCTGTATTGTTAAATAATAATACCGAGGTGAAAAAACCTGTAACTAACACATGCAATGGACAAACTATTATAGTTTCTCCCGCTTGCACTCAAAGTATGAACCTTGTATGTTATGGAGATTCAGTAGCCAGTATAAAACATATCAGATTCAATGTGTCTATGCATTCAGACTTCTTTCTAAATTTTTCTCAGGAAGCTATAAAGTAACGTGTTATTAATAAATGTGAATTACCTACTGACTGTATTGTGTTACATCTTATTTTCTTCTGTGAGAAAATGGAGAGTATCAGATCTACATTATGGTCTAACCTGTCACATATGTTAGGCATACAACAGTTCCTTTTCACCAGCATCACAACGCTTATTACCTAATGTTTCTTGTAATATGTAAACCGACTTTTAAAACATAATGTTTCTTGTATCTTGTAAAGGCGATTTCCGCATTGATGTCAGCCATGTTTTGGTCCAAAGTTAAAGTAGGTCAAAATTCATACAGAAAAATGAACTGTATTTCAGTTTTTGTAAAGGTATACATACCTGCCTGTCTGCCGGCTCCGTCCGCTGCGGCTGGGACAGAAGATCTTCTGTCCCAAGCTGTGGGGAACTCTGTAGATCTGTAGATCTTTTGTCAGTCTGTTGTAAACCACATGTGGGGCAAAAATTATACTCGTACGTAATTGTCTGCCCGCATCTACATTTCTGAGTGGTTTTGCTGCCACAGTGGAAGCAAAAGTTATACTTTATATCTAAGACTTTGCCGCAATTTCGGCACGGTTTGCAATTTCCCGCCATTTCTTACGGTGGCCGTAAGTGGAATGTGTCATGAAAATCATAAAACGGTGTAACATAAGCAAATAAGCAATTTGGCAAATAAGCAAATCAGCAATTAGCAAATAAGCAATTCAGTTGTTGGCAAATAAGCAAACTGGCAAATCAGCAAATAAGCAATTCAGTTGTTGGCAAAAAAGCAAATTGGCAATTAGCAAATAAGCAATTAATTCGTTGGCAAATAGGCAAACTGGCAAATCAGCAATTAGCAAATAAGCAAGTCAGTTGTTGGCAAATAAGCAAATTGACAAATCAGCAAATCAGCAATTAGCAAATAAGCAATTAAGTTGTTGGCAAATAAGCAAATTGGCATGTCCCTACCGGCATTCCATAGGAAATAGTAAGTTTTGATAGTTTTAAATTACCAGTCACATGTCAAACAACGAGAACTACAATTTGATAACATTTTTGTTATCTCAGGTTTGTATGTATTTTCTTAAATGTATGAATGAATTGTTTTAGAGCCTGTCTGACTGTCTACTGTATTGTTTTGTTCCAAGTTTAAATGTCAACTTCACATGATACGGTTTTAATCAGTGATATGGAATATTGTATAAAATCATGTCATGATATAAAGATTTGATTAAACAAACATTAAATGCATTGAAAAACGTTCAAGTGTTTCTTTGTTTTTTTTGTTATTGTTTATTGTTTGAAATTTGTTTGTAAAATAAAACATTTGGGAACAAGCAATTATTTCAAAATAATTAATATATTTGCTCGTTGTTACGTACATATTCATGGATTCAATGTATTTATTCATTAGCCTCATCTGATTAATATTTTACATACAAAGGGTAAACATAATCAGGTTGGGTTTTTGAAAGACAGAGAAACAACATTTAATAGAATTTATACATAACATACATTTCCGTCACAGTTTTGCACCGCGGATATTATACACTTCTTTTCTAAAATAAATACCATCTAGATTTCACGTGGATTAAAGTACACTATCTGAACAACTTTTTTTATTCAAAAGGTTTTTCTTTTCATTCCTTCATAATTCATTTTCGTTTGTTTGGAAGAAATGCATGTGTGAAATAGGCTCTAGGATTGATTTTAATTTTATTTGTCTCGAGAGGTAATCATATCGCTTTGCCTTTATCATATGCTTTAAAAACACCACTAAACTGAGTATTAACATTTAAAATTAGCTATTTCAATTTTAAAGAAATATTATAAAGCTATAAGTTGATAAACACATGTAGTTCAGTTAGACAAAATCAATTGTTTCAGTTATTAGATTCTAATAACTTGTAAAATGAATGAAGAATTAATGTCAGTACATCTATGATGATTTCCATATCCACATGAAAAGATGAGCGTATAATTCAGAGATATCATGAAATCACGAATAATCCCGTTCTGTGTGAGTGCTGATCCTCTTTCTGTCTTAGTGCATTACAGTATATTATATGTCTTATACAAAGGAGTTTTAATTCTGAATTGTTTAACTCTGATTTAGAACGAAAAGTTCCACTTATACAATTTCTGTTTCTTCTGATATTTAAACTGTGCAGATAAAATTCTTTATATTTGTATACATTGAATCAAGAATAATGCAATGCAGGGTAGGTTATTTTTAACAAGGTCTGTAAGCATTTTCTAAATAATGTTAGTATAATAATATTGCAATTTAAATAAAAAAAAACTATCATAATTAAAGATGTAATTTTTTCTTCAAAAGAAAGCACATTTCACCAAACATCAAAGGAAAAAAACGAGTCTTCATTATCAGATTAAAAAGGAAGATTACTATTTAAAACAAATGTGAACATTTAATAGACGTAAATACATGTTTCATGCTGCTTTTTGCATAAGTGATGATCGTTTCTTGCATACTGTTACATAAACATGTAACTAAATGTACTAGTATAATAACTATAACTACATATACTAATGCGCTGAAATTTTGAAATCTAGTTTAAAATGTTAACAATCAAAAGATTAAATAGAGAAATCATAATTATTAAGCCTAGGTAATTATTGAATATTGGTGCTTATTATACTGCTCATTTGTGTAATATTCGACTTGACAGCGTGCTAAATATAAAAGAAAAGTTAACACATTACATTGTAAATAACTTGTGTTTATGATAAAACAACCGAGACAACTTAAGGGTATAACATATCCTCATGTGTCCTCAACGTTGTATAATAACTTTGTGTGAATTCATTTTTTTAATAATTGATGTGACTATATTACGTAATGTTTATTCACTGGTTGCATTGAAATTATAGCTTTGCTAAAAACGGAATAAATACCTCTCTTGGGAATTTATATATATCTTAGTTTAGTTCACGGTGAATCGGGTAGTTACATAAAAGCTATACAAGGTTCCGGCGGAATAATCGAGAAAATATGGTTTAGCCGCAGATTATAGTTATATCAACACGGGTATATTCTTCCGTCTATGCGGTCAGCAACCTGGAATAAAGTAATTTTATTGGCGTCATGTTCATGAGACAATTCAGCACTTCACATTAGGATTAATAACAAAAAGGCGTGGGATAAGGCGCACTTCAATAAGATGATGGTCGGGGGTGCCTTAATCTGCATCAGCGTTGATAAGAGAAAAGAATTTACTCAATTGAGTTAAAGTACTAACAGAAAGCGAATTTAAATAAATACAAAAACAAAAACAAAAAAAAACATTCTTTATTTAGAAACTGATGTTTTTCAAACAAATCCTTTTGATGCCTTATCTGAAACGTTTTTGTTTTCTGGTTTATCTAGATAGAAAATCAACGGAATTTCGATCTTTTTAACTTGATGTTAAGTCGTTGTTAAATGCTTAAAGACAAAATAAAAAGTCGATTACCTCATTCCAGAAATCAATAATAAGTTATACACACATTTTTCTTTGCTTTGCTCTTTATTAGTATGAATATTAAAGTCTTGTGTTATAATGCAGACGTTAATACTGTACTCCATATGCTTTCTTGAACGACAATCTTCTTACTTATCTTCACCAGAGAAATCACATAAAAATATACCTTGGAGCATATTTTACAAATGTAGTTGCAAGGAATCGTAAAAGAGACCATGCATGTTTTAAAGGAAAACTTTTTGTAAAATAGAAAGGATGTAAAGGTGTTTAGATAGTGTCTTTCAATCAACGGCAAATCTAAATTCTATGTATTGCGATATATAATTTCCGGTTAGCATTTTCTATTTCATGTTCCCTCTCGGTATAAGGAAAATACCATACTTTGTAACCGCTTTATATGGAAATACATTTAAAGATTTAAAAAAAAACTCATCATCAAGCCTCTTTTCGGAAGGTTTAAAACTGAGAATAATTTCATTTCCAAATCCTAGTAAAGTAAAAAATTATGTTGTTTTAAACAAAACGATTTATCATTCAAAATGATTTAACTTGAAGGTATATGTACATTAAGATTTTTTTCATAAAATATTACTTTGCATCCACAAACCTAATGACAAATATGGTTTGTATGTATGGTTGTTGACCTTGTTGTAAAGAACTACAGACTGAGGCGCATAAAAAATCGTTATGTAATATTAAATATTAAATCACCATACAAATGCGTATATTTATGTCAGGCACCAGACATTTTACTATAAAATTAGAACTAAGAATGTTAACCTGTCTGAGATGTCTTGGCAAGCTATGTTTACGGAATTTTTTACGAGATAGTGTAGTGACAACAAATCAATAGGCGATCTGGCTAAAGGTCACACCTATTTAAGTCATTTCTTACATGCAGATCTGATTACCATTGTAATTGTGTCGCCTTAATTGTGATTTGTATTTCCCCCAATAGCTATTAAGCCATGCATTGTCTGAAATATGTAAACTAAATCCTAAAACACCATAACACCAAACATTGCATTGCTGATATGACCATGTAAACAATACCGTTATACCCAGAAAATCTTTTCTATTCCTTCATGGGTACTGACATATATCTATCTATAAAACAAGTTCTGTTGACTGTCAACTTTTTAAGAGGAATCGGTTTTAAAATTATGCCAATAGTGTTTCGATCACAGAACAAATCTTATGCTACCATATCCGACTGATAACCAAACTACAAGACATTTGTTACTACCATTAAGATTGGCTGGAAATAACAAGAAGGAAATAAATAATAACCGTCTGTCATAATTGCCGTTATTGTAAACAACTATGTACTGAGTCAAATTCATAAGTATTGTGCTTAAATGTAAAACTAAATTGAATTTATTCATTAATTGCCTGGTCAATAGTGTGGCTTTAGTTTCAGATCCATTCACTGAAAAGGAAACTTGTTTCTGTCTATTTTAGAAGACAAATAGTTTGAGAAAAGGTCTAAAGTCGAATTACTTTTTACTTGGCATCTAAATTGGCATACTCGTCTCTTATTACAAGAATGATATGTGGCGGAGTGTTGCAGTTCCGGTCCATGTCATTTCAATGCATTTAAAAAAGGGTGTCAGTTACTGCTTTTAACATAATTGGTTTCTTGTACACTTTTATTGGATACAAATTTTATTGATGATGAAAGCAGCAAAGGAGAATGAGCCAAAGAGAAATCAAAAGGAACAATATTAACAAGAATCTCATTAAATTCAATCAAAGCAAAAATGTTAAATCGACCTTATGGAAATACGTAAATTTAAAAGATACTCGAATCTTTTGCTTAGAAAATTATTGAACTATGCAATAAACCTCTTGAAACATTTCCTGCTTGAACTTACAGTAATTAACATTTGGCGTTTACAACCGAGTCATAAAGAAATAAATATGCAATTAAGTAATCTTCTACTATTCATTTATAGATCGTATAACAATTACTTATTTTACATACAATAGGACATACGCTATGGTAACAATAAACTACTTTCTTGTCTGCAAATCAATGTATTTTGTTTGGCAAATAATTTGATACGAAATCGTTTACACCTGTCACAAACAAATAATGTCATTCAGTGCATCAATTAATACTTGTCAAAT